TTATTACCTACTTCTTTGCTGATACTTATTATTTATTTATTTATTGATTAAACTAGTTATTTGATTTAAAAAATAAAAAAAACTCTTCCACTAAAGTATCAAAATACGATTGGCCAATTGGCCAATTGGCCAATTCGGTCGGGCCACGTTATTTCTTCAGGGCAAGAAGCAGCTCAAATTTTAGTTTGTTTGAAAAGAGAATTTCATCTTTCTTTTAATTATTGGCGTCGATCAGTTCGAATAGCGAATTTAAGTAACTGTTAGATTTTAGCTGAAAAGATAAGTGTGACGAGAAAAAACTTAAAAAAGATAGTTATTTGATAAAAATGTAACTTTTAATTGAGTTCTGTTTAAATTGGTATACAAGCTCACTACTAGAATGAGAGCAAATAAGAAGGAAACGTTTTCCTATGTAAATATGATATATTCCTTTCTAAATGGGTTAGCTACAAATTTAGATAGGACTTTGTAGTCCTCTATAAAACCTCCCTTGGTAAATCATAGTTCCTCTCTGCATTCCTCTCTAGCATATAAAGTGATGAAAACTATTAAATAAATTAGAGAGGAACTCAGCTCCTTTTAATTTTCATCCTCATTTATATATAGAGGAACTTGATTCCATTTTTAAAAGGTGGGCCTACAAAGAAAATTATGCTCCGTAGAAAGGAACTAAAATCCACTTTTATTAATTTCAAAGTTACTTATATTCCTTTCAATTTAATTTGAAAATTCATGTCCATATGCATATACGGAATATAATATACTGTATATGATAGGTATACAATTTTTTTTTTTAAATACAAACCCAATGCACATTTATATATCAAACAATATAAATACACATCAAACATTCCATTCAAATCACTTATGAATGTCATTCATGACATTCATCATTCTGCAGTACTTGATAAAATTCAAAATTAAAATTGCTTAAATTAAAAGGATTACAAAGTCAGTGAATGAGATCATCCTCAACATCCTCACATCCTTTTTCACCCCGGTTGGAATGATTATAGCCATTATTGAAGACTTGTGAAGGTTGGGGGTCTTGGGGCATCAACATGCTCATAAAAGACCCCACTTGGGGCTGTTGCGGAGAAATATTTATGTAAGCACTTTGTTGATTGTGTGGAACAGAGCCCATGAAAGTACCTTGTTGCATATTAGGGATCACATTCATAAATGCACCGTGTTGCAATGGTTGTGCCATTTTCATAGATGTAATGATGGCTTGCATTTCTGCTATAGTAGCTGATGCAGATTCTTTAAACTACACAAGTTCTTTATTAGTTTCTAGAAGAGCATTATTGGACTTCTCTACTTGGTCCACACGTTGTTGAAGTATTTTGTCCTTGTATGATTGTTGTGGAATGTTCTCAGATGCAGAGGCTGAAGGAAAGAAATAAATACTTACTGCAGCAAAACCAGTAACTTTTCCTCCTTTTTTTCGCCCTCCAGCAGCCTTCAACATTAGATCTTGAGACTTGGCATTTGACTCTTTTGACTTTAGTTCTTCATATGAGTCCTGTAAAAAGTATAATTTGTGGACACAATGACAAAAATGTAATTCATCTTTTTACAATTTTAATTTGCAGAAAGAGGGTTAATATGTTAAAAATGAAATTAACTCGATAAATTATACTGACATAGATTGATTTAGCTTTTGGTGTCACAAATGTACCGTCTCCTTTTGTATGTGTTAGCAGAAATATTTTTTCAGGGGGTGTTGTTTCTTGATACTTTTCCTCCTACAAATATTAACAGTATATCTAAAATAAGGGTTACTAACAAATTTAAATAGTAAAAAATGACCGTATAAATATGCATGCTTACATATCTTCGGCAATGCTCTGTGATGGGGATAGATCCCCCAGTGTGCAACGCCATGCCCACATCGGAGTTCTTGTTTTTTTTATTGGTATCACATTTACTAATGAACTTTGCAATCCCTCCATTGCTCAAGCAGTTGAACCTATATTGGAAGAATGATCCATTCGGGACGTTGTTTATTTTTTCGAGCACTAGATAGTGCACGTGATAATCCTTCTGATCCTTTTTTATTGAAATTCTTTTTAATGCGTGACTCATATTCCGGCCTCCAATAATATTTCTCCTATGAATTTAATTAAAGAATACCACAATTTGGTAACAAATTAACACAATGTATAACAAGACAATGAAAATATACACATCACCTTCTCGATTCAGTGTTCATTGAGTTCGCAGAAAGAAAAGATAGCAGCTCGAATATGTTAGTTACTACTTTCAATTCTAAAGAAAAGAAAAATTATTTAGTACATATTACCTTGAATAAACTCAACCAAGCTTTCTTCGATCCTGATGAAGCACGTGTATAAGAGCGAATGGGTTCATCAAACTTCTTCGTAACACATGGCATGACAAATCGATTTGCCTTGCATGGAATAAAACTGAAAACATTCATGACGACATAATCATTTTGCAAATAATACAAATATATTTATAACTAACTATTGATGCATAATTGAGCTACCAGATTGTGTTTCAATCAGTACAATATATACATGACAATTTAATACTTAAGTTACCCAGAAATGCCGTCAGGAACAATCTCGATCTTAGGTTCTTGGTTAACATGGGGAGATAGGGGTGGAGTAGATGGGGTAACCAAGGTAGTAGAATCATCTGAACTGGTCTCTGTATTTTGAGAAGGTGATGAAGTAAATGAGCTTGGATCTCGTGGTTGGTAAAGATGTTAGCATTCACTACTGCGGGTGGGTAAGTGATGATTCGTGATAAGTTTGCATTTTGAATGTCACGATGAATTCGCACCATTTGTGGTTCAAAATTAAATATAATTATGGACAGAACTAGTAATGTTTCACAAGCCAAATTCTACTAAGAAAAGTTAATTCAGACTGTTCAATAATTAGACATCAAACTGTTTTTATTATTTGTGTTCAGACTATACATGTTCAAACTAGTGTTAGCACCTCCATAGTCCATACGCATAAATAAAAGTATTACCTTTTTCGGCATAAACACATACTACGTACAATAAACAGACCAACAAATTAAAGAAGAAAAAGAACAAAATCAAAAGGCTTATATAATATCATTGGGTAAATATGTCTAGAAATTCAAAACAGCTATATTTTTTCATGAAATAGAGTTGTTATTGTCATGATTAAAAAATACGAGTAATATTGCATGCTATTAATGAAAATAAATAATGTCTTCTTAATGCTGGTGTTGTATACGGCATATATATTTTGACAATAATGACTCCAAATAGCAATGAGTACTATCATGTTACTCATATTTAGAAAAAAACACAACAATCTTATTTTGAAATTGAAAAACATGTTTATTCCAATTTCCAGAACTTTTCCACCGATAAACGTCATATGTATCAATTACTGGTTATGGGATTACTAGCATTTGGTAATGTTTAATTTGAAAAAATTAATTAGAAATTAGTTCAAATAGGACTAAAAACTATGGCAAAAACCTGAAATAGGACTTGCTATATTTTTATTCCAAAATAGAACCATATGAGTCCTATTGGAAACATACCTATTTTTGCATTCCATTCTTACCCTTCCATTAAATATGAATTAAAAATAGTCAAAAGTCATAATTAAATGTTTAATTCATAATAAATTCGAAAAAAATTCAAAAATTCGTAGAAATATAATTAAAAAATTTATAAAATTTTTATAAAATAAAAAATTCAAAATCTTTTTTTTTTTAAATAATTTTATATTTAAAAAAATTAATAAAAAATAGTAAAACTACGTAAAAAAAATTTAAAAAATATGGATGCCTTTCCCACCGCTTGTACTACCTCCCAGCACCACCACCTCCGACCAATTTAAAAAATGCCATTTTCCCAGAAAAATGCCATTTTTTTCTGAATATGCGAAAAAAGTGGCATATTTCTCTTTTCGAATGCCAACATTTTCATTTTTTTCTGCCATAAATATGGCATTCGTAATGAACTTGGCATTTTTTTCCCCGGGTGACTGGAGGTGGTGGTGCTGAGGCGGCGGCGATTTTTTTTTTTTTTGAGTTTTTATTTTTTTTATTTTTTTTTAATTTTTTTAATTTTTTGAAAAAAAAATAATTAAATTTTTAATATCGAAATTTTTTTCTTAATTTTTTTGTATTTTTTACGAAATTTATTATTTTTTATTATTTTATTAGGAATTAAAACATTTTAATAGCTATAAGGGTATAATTGTCCAAGGTACACATAATTAGTCCTATGCAAACATAGTTTATTTTTTGGTCCTATTTGTGAAAAGTGAATGACTTTTAGTCCTATTTCGATAATTAACTCAAAATTAATTCATTAAAGAAAAAATCACAATATGAAAAAAGATATAAAACAGTACTCTCCATCGACAAAACGGTTAATTCAATTTATTAACTTCTAAAGCATCAAATGAAAAGGATTTGGTGCTGGATAAACAAACGAGGATAATGCAAAATGATTGCATTTTTGCATATTGTACACAATGATTCACAATGTTTTTGATTGGATTAGTCCCTCCTTCACATAAAATTCTCCCCACTTTCCTTTTTGGGTCGTCCCAAAAAATTCTTCCCATTTATCATTTTTGGACAATTTATGTGGCTTATATTCATTTCACTTTTTTCTTACACAACTACAAGCACACATTTCCACTTTATTCCACCTTCTTAATCTCACTGCCAAGTCAAAGCGGGAAGAATTATCTAGGATGGATGGAGTATTTTTTTTATTTGATCTCATGTATATAGGTAATATGGAAGTCATATTAGACGCTTCTTTGTAAATTATAGAAATTGCTCTAAATAAGTGCAAAAACGTTTTGAAATTCCAAAATAAGAGTATTTGTTTTTTATTCTCTGAATATGAATAATCTGTCAAGTTTGAAAAAAAAAGTCATGTTTTAAAGCTAGTAATGTCAAACTTGGCAAAAATATACTCCTATTCAAGAAATAAAAAACATGATAGTCATGATTTGGAATTTCAAATTTTTTATTATTATTGTGTTTAATTAATGAGTAGAAACCTGAAATACTTTCAAAAGGCGAAATGGTTCATCGAAGAGGTCTCAATCCATAATATATTAAATCTCATCGAAACTTATAACAACAAAAGGTATAAATTATTACCTTTCATGAAATCCATTTTCTTGCTATTCTTTATTCAATTTTTCTTTTTCAATACAGTGAATAGCAATTAGGATAATAATAATAATAGCAACAATAATTTAATAAAAATAGCAATCCCCTTCACCATGATGTTTAATTTAGAGCATGTAGGTGGCGAAAAAGGACAAGAGAGATGCTCCGATCAACGATCCGACGGCAGGGAAAGTGGTGATGGCGGCGCTGATCGGCGACGGTGCCTGGGCAGCTGGGCTAGGGCTGTTGACGGCCGCCTCATTAGCCAAGGCCACGGTGAAGGAGGCGGTGGCGACCAGGGCGGCGCAGGCGATCTTCTTCATCTCCATTGTGAAGGACCGGAAGGCTTGATCGGCAACAACCTCAAGAATTCAGATCAGAAGATTATTCACCGAAAACCTTTCTTTCCAACTTACTCCGTATTATTTATATATATTTACTTTTTCCTATATCGAAAGGTGAAGGCCAGGGATGAAGGGTTGGTTATATAAGGGGTGCTTTTGGGCTATTTAGGAGATTCATTAATCATTTTAACGGTGCATCGTTTTATATGGCATTCATTAATTATCATTATCATTATTGTGTTGTGGGAGAGGGAGTGATTTTAGGATATTTTTGAGTGATAAAGCAAATTAATGGTGTTATCTATTTGGAAGAACGGCTTAAGCGGTATATATCCGTACAATGCAGATGAATTTGAAATGCACCAATGAGAAGTTTACAACAATATATCATTGAGAAATTCTACCATACCTTCTAAAATATACGTAGTATGATGTACCTGTACATCATATTTGTGTTTTACATGATATGAATATGTGTGTAATATGCTATGTGTATGGAGTATTCTAGCTTATATATCTAATTATGGCTAGTAAAGACTCCGTTATTTTAGTTGATGTAATGGTGACTTACTAAGAAAATTTCCATTCACTTTCTAGTGAGGCCTAGCACAATAAAAAATAGAAAAAATAGGAATTTTATCAATCCTGGACCCAAAAGATAGATTAATTATCAATTCAGGACCCGAAAGATGAAACGTATCGGTATAGGACCCGAATGATGAAAACTATCAATTTAGAACCTAACGTTTCAAAGGTTTGATTTATTTAATTTTTTATGAATTCCATTACTAATTTTTGATAAACTTTTCTTCACAAAAGTTTATTAGTTTAATAAAACGAAATAATATTTTAATTTTTTTAATAAAAAAAATTATGACAACTTAGGTCCTAGATTAATAGTTTTCAATCATTCAGGTCCTAAATTGATAGTTTTCATCATTCGGGTCCTATATCGATGCATTTTTTCTTTCAGGTCCCGAGTTGATACTTAATCTATCTTTCGGGTCCTGAATTGATAAAATTCCAAAAAAATAATAGTAATTGATGGTACCATGGAACCCGACCATGGCCCAATTACGTAAGTCCGGCCCATAAATGGGATTAGCCCATAAACGGGATTAACCTTTATCAAGATCAATGATAAGTGACGCTGGGCTCGAATTAGGAACCAAGCCCGCGAGAGGAACCCACAACCAGGCCAGGCTGGAAAGCATGCCTCGAGCCTGGGCGGAGTTCTAGTGAGGCTGGGATATTCCTAGGGCTGACATGACATGATATCATTGGAATGGCAGCTGGTAGGAGATAAACGGCTGGAACGTGGGAGCAAAGGGACAATCATGACACAACGGTCGAGACGTTACAAGAGTCCTATTCGAACTAATGCATCATTAATAACATTTATTGTATGAGTTTCCTTTTGTAACACTAGTTCCTTAGCCTATAAATATAACTTGTAAACCTCCTACTGGGGATCGAAACATTGATCAATAAAACACTGCCTTACGCTGCCAAATTATCATCTCTCCGTAGATTTAGCTCTTGTTGGATTACACTCCATCATTTGGTGCTCTCGTTGAGAGCTCGATCTGCGACGAACTATGGTAGGATCTCATAGCCATAACCGTGGAGGCAGCAATCTGGGTGGTAATCGCCATGACCAAGTGGTGATTGAAGACAAAGGTTCTCGGTCCCGGCGTAGTGATTTCCGAAGGCGTAACGACAACGCAGCGGTACTAGAGGAACTGAGAAACCGCCTCCAAGGCGTTGAAGGTTCGAGACGGGCGGCGACACGGTCACCGCAGTTTCAGACACCGGGCACTGGGAATCGTATTCCCAGTATTGATCCGGCTCAGGCTCTAGCCAGTTTAGCAACATTCCAGAGGGCAGTGGAGACTCTGACTACTGCTTTCCAGGGCATCATCCCTAACGAGGGTGCGAGATCCCCTTCACCGCGCCGGGCTCCGTCTGTATCCCGGCAGGAGGAGGGGCACGAGCATTCCAGGAGGGGCTCCCCGCCATCCCGATCTCAGCGATCCCATCATTCCAGGCGAACCCCGAGGACCTCGGTGATGGACCGAATCGGTGGACAATGGGTCTCCGTGCATGACCGGATCTCATCCCGACATGAGCCCAGCATGGAGGCGTCATCCGCGACTGTTTCATCCCACCGCCGAAGTGTGCGTGGGGGAGATCTCAGAGACGAGATCAACGCCAACCGGCAGGGCCGCAGGCATCGACGATCTCCACCTCGGCGACAGGCAGGTTAGGGTAATGAAGATCTCTGGAGGAGGCTAGACGAGCTCCGAAGGGAAGTGGACGTGAGGATTAATCCCAATCATGAAGTAAGGATTCCTGAACCGTTCATTCGTCAGATTATGGATGCTCCGCTACCTCAAGGATATAAGCCTTGCAATATAGAGGCCTATTGAGGAAAAACAGACCCGCGACACCATGTTTCCAGATACGTGGCATACATGGTGACGATGGGGTATGAAGATGCCATCAAGTGCAGGGGATTCTCGGTAACGCTCGACGGGCCAGCCCGTGAGTGGTATGATTCCCTACCTAACGGGAGGATTCAGAACTTTAGGGAGTTGGCCCATGCTTTTGTAACTCGGTTCGCTAGCTCTAAGGATTCCAAGAAGAATTTTTCTCATCTCTTGGGGATCAGGCAAGGACCCCAGGAAAGCTTGGTTGATTTCTTGACCCGATGGAGGGACGAATCCGTGAAGGTGGACGACCTGGATGATAAGTCCGCGATCGCCATACTAACCAACGCTCTGAGATCGGGCGAGTTGTACAAGCATTTCGTCCGAAACCCTCCGACCTCACACGAGGAGGCCCTGCAGCGAGCAAACGCGCAAGCCGGGGTAGAAGAAGCTGAGAGAAGAAAGAGAGACGAAGAGACCGGGAAGCGCCAACCTGAGGGCGAAAAGAAGAAGACCCTTGAAAAGGAAACCCTTGATTGCGACAAGGGGAATGGTTTCAGAAAGAAGAAGAAGGGTTGGGGAAAGGGAAAATCAGGCGTTCCTGAGGGGCCACTAACCAGTCACATAGATTTCACTCCTTCTGCACACCAGGTGAGTACGGCCCTAGATTACGTTGCGAAGCAGGGCTTGATCACTGTCCCCGAGGGTTACAGTGCCATTCAGAGTCAGAATCCCAAGAACAAATACTGCAAAATACACAAAACTGACTCTCATCAGACCAATGATTGCTACATCCTGAAGAAGTATGTCGAGAAACTCGTACAAGAGGGCCAGTTGGAGCAGTTTGGGAAGCAAGCCCAGCAAGGACAGCCTTCAGCGAAAAAGCTTACCTGGAACCGCGAGAAGGATGCACCGACCTCATCCTCGAAGAAGAGGGAGGTTGGGGCCCAGTTCGAGGATGACGACGAAGCAGAGGACGCCGACAGACAGAAATGACCTCATGTCAACCAAATCTACGGCAGACCTGTAGGGGGAGATATGGCTGGGGAGGGTATGCCCCTATAAATACCCGGTCCATGGGATGGCTTAGGGTTTTCAGTTCTTTGCTTCCCTGTTTGTGATTTCTGGTGTCCTTCCCAAGCGAATCTGGTTCTCCGCTCGTCTCCGTTCTCAAGTGCTTTACAGGTAACTACCGATTCTTTATCCCTTTTCTCCCCCCACTTCTTCTACTCGATTAGTTCTATGGAGATCTCCTCCGACTCGAGCACCGGTTTCAGTTCCTCCACCGGCTCCTCTTCTAGTTCTTCGGGAATCCTAGATCCCGTTCTTCAGAGGAAGCTAGCAGTTCTGGCCGTTCCAGCCTGTCCACGGTGGTCGATCAGGTAGTGGGTGGCGAGGGCGCCCTGTTTTGTGCGGGAGGTGATGTTGATATGGGCGCTGTCCCGGAGAACGTTGTGGCGATGGCGGCGCCACCTGATGAGGGGGCGGAGCGCCCCGCCGACTATGATTCTGGCGAGGATGCCAAGGAATGGGACGATCTTGAGATATTCAGGCTTGGCATGCCTGTGGACCATCCTCACCATCTTGTGCTCATCCCGAACGTAGCCGTACACGAACAACAATTCTCTAGACGGGCCCTGAAAGAGGTACAGATCCTCCTTCCCCCGCCATTTTACTATAGCCTCCGTGGTGCGGACCATCTCTTTAAAAGACGTCCGGAAATGATTATGGTGCACATGGATTCTTTGAAAGCCGGCCTGCGCTTCCCCCTTCATGCGTTCTACCTCGACTTCTTTGCCTGCTACGACGTAGCTCCGGCTCAGTTCATGCCGAACTCGTATCGTCACATTTCTGCCTTCATCATCCGATGTGTCTCTCAAGGGATTACCCCCAGCCTGGACCTTTTCCACCATTTCTTCCAAGTGGCGCCCCAAAACGCTGATGGGTTCATAAATGTCGCCGCACGTCCCAAGAGGCAACTATTCGAGGGGGCCCCCACCTCCATCCACGACTGGAAGAACCGCTTCTTCTTCCTCCGTTATTCGGACGATCGACTCCTCGTGAGATGGAATGGGTACCCTCCGAAGATAGGGCCGCCGGATCTGACTCTGGATTTTCAAGATACCATTGACAAACTGACTCATGGCGGCATCCAGAAGTGTAAAGATCTTCTGACAATCGAAGAACTCTCTGACGCAGGGATAGGTACCGCCCGCGATCCCTGGATTGCATTCCTCCATGTTTATCTTGTGGGCTCGGGCGGTCCGTTCCCTGAGGTGAGTGCCTTTGAGATTTGACCGCCCGGTTCTAACATTCTTCATTTCTTTGTTCCAGGTCTTCCCCCTACTTCGGATCGGATGGACGCCCAGGCTATGAAGGTTCATCGTCTTGCCAAAGCCGCCCAGGCGAAAGCGTCCGCGGCCAATCCCACCTCTTCTCAGGCTGACCGGCGCGTGGATGCTACTGAGCGGCATTTGATTGCCACCGTGACCGGGCAAGGTTCTGGAGCCTGCTCTGCCGATAACACCCCGGCCCTGGATGTGGATCCGATCGGTGTTGCCCCCCTATCGTGGAGAAGGAGAAGGGCAGGAAGGCCAAGAAACCACGCTTGGAGGCCGCCGACCCGAAAGCTCCTGGTGCCGCACTGCAGGTACCAGATCGGCCCCTTCCTGAAATCTGGAGGGACATGGCTATTCAATCTGGCCTGGAGCCCCCAACCCGCTCTTCGGGCGAGGCCATTG